ACACAGCCAGTAATAAGCAATTTATTATAGGCTGTGTGGTGAACTACCGGGGTATTAAAACACAATAAATGAACTACAGTGCACTGCATTTATGGCATGTCTAGCACTAAGTCAATTAAAAGCTTTAAAAAGAACAAGAAACCAAATTTAGTATACATGCACTTAGCACCAACACCCTAGTACAAAAGTTGTGATTCAGGATAGCTGAAAACTTGTTTGTAACCAAAAGATGTTAAATGTCATTGCATGTTTAAGGCTTTTCTCCAGCAGCAAGACGTCGGTTAATGTCTTCAATCACAGGTGGCAAGTCATTGATGGTATCAATGACATAATGAGCTCCAGCATTAGCAAGAATATCGTAAGACCTGGCAAGCCTTCTTTCATAGTCTTCTTCACTCAGAGCAGCTATTTCTTCTTCACTCAAGGCTACATAATTCCCCTGCATAAAAGAAGAGTGATGAGTCCATGAACTTTACTCCAATATTGACTTGCTTTCATTATTTACTGATAGTTATTCTTCTAGTGCCAATATATACTGCAGTTAGAGTTGCAATGATTAATCAGGGTCATGGGCATGGACATCACTATTCTCCAGAAAGGTTTCCAGTACTTTCGTGTAACTATTTCATAATTAGGGTTACTTGTTATAGCAAGTGCAATTTGACAAGTCCCGAGTCAAATTTACTCCAGTGTAAACTTTATTTATTTTGAGTGGAACAGAAATGAGACAATAAAATGTCTTAGACATTTCTTGCAAATTTTAGTTGATAAGAATACTGCTTATAACTCCGACAGATTAGTCAAGAGGCTCTAAGCAGGAGACAAGTGTAAACTACAGCATCACAACATGGCCCAGGGTTTTACTGTACAATTTTTGACAAGTTCTCAATTAGAAGTCAACAATTTCAAAACAACACATTAAACATGTAAGCAGGGCACTAAAAATAAAAATATTAATTCAATAAATTTAAAATAAACATACGGTCTTGGCAAGGCCCACACTCCAGCAGCCAGCTGATGTTCCTTCCTTCACACCATCTGCTGTATCATCTACCTTCACAAGAGCCTCAATGGGATTAACATCCAGCTGAATAGCATTCATCCAAACCATGTAAGGGTATGGGCGGGCTTGAGGTACTTGATCAGCAGCAACATACACATCAGGGGTGTAGCCTTGATCCGAAGCAGCTGGTTTCAGAACATCCATCATGGGTGTGGTGAAGCCAGTTGTTGAACCTATCTTTAGGCCCATATTGTGACGCAGGAAATTTACAGTGTCAACAGCCCCAGTGATCATTTGAGAATGCTCCGCAATACATGCTATTTGCAACGGAACAAAGTTGGCATACATCCTATCCACATCTTGGTCGTTGGGGTAGCGGCCAAACGTTTCAAACCATCTTCTCCTCACAGACTCCATTTGTGTGACCTTATAGATGTGCACTTTCTTGTGAGTTCCCATGGGCTCCCTTGCCTCTTCCATTGTGATTGGGACTCCCTCATTTTTGAAAACTTCCGAAAAAGCTACAGCTGGCGAGTATACACCACAGTCCACAACAGTACCAGCCCAGTCCAAGATGACCCCTTTAATCTTTCCTTGGTACTGGCGCACCATTCTGTATTCTGAACGTGGATTCTTCAAAACAGAACCTGTTATCAGAGTAACAGTGAAATAACTGTAAGTTCCAGAAACACTGCTTCTGAAATTCATTCAGAATTCATCTAACTATTTTGAAGGCTATGGAGTCCATTTATTCTGCAGTTTTCTCAATGAAAACTGTCACTTGAAAGGTTAATGGAAACCAGATTAATTTATGCTTATTGTGTTATGCATGCATTTAAGCTTAAGTAAGGACGGTGCCTACCAATTACAAAGGTTTTTGAGCCAGATTAGGACCATGAGGAGAAAGTAGATCTTTGCAAGGGTTATTGGAATCCACAAAGAAAACTAGGGGTAGCATTTTTTCGAGATAATTAGCCTTTAATCTCAACAAAAATGCTGACATCGGATTTCCTTAGAATTTGCCTTTACATACAGAAAAGCAAACACATTCATAAAGATCTTTAAACTATGTGGTAAATGGTAACATAAAAACCATTTTTGGTATGTTTTATAATAACAACATCGTTGCAAATATACCGCTTTTAGCATCTCTGACAGCCTTCCTTAAGACCTTATGCATCCGATGGCATGATGAGGACTGATGATGACAGCCTTCCTCTAGTTCAGCTAAAATACAGTCTAAATAGCTGTTCTTTTCACAACCAGAAACTAATCACATGCACATGTTGAATAGGCTTACCACTTCCATTTCATAACATAAAATGTAGGGGTAATCACATGTTTTTTTAAGTCATTCACCTTTTTTGAAAACTTTTACGGTGCCTGTTACATTTTTTCCTGTCACCTCCCTAGTAAGTACAACATTTGTGTCTCTCACACTTGTTTTGCGCATGCACCATGCCATCTGCAGGTACATGTTTACAGTTGGATTTCAGTACAATTTATGACAGGTAACAGTTCGTCTTTCAGCTGAAAGCCATTAACAGTTATTGGTTAGAGATAAGCCACTATTCTGGTATACCTGGTTTTAGTACAGGTTTATTTAACTTGATTTGGTCACAGTAGGAAAATTTTACTTAGTCCTGCACTTGGTAGCTTAGTTGATTACATCAATCCCAACCATAGCGCGCCCGTGGTGGTTTAAAACCATGCCTTACATGATGCGCAGAATGTATGCCCACCGTAACAAAAGTAGGCACTGCTGATAAGCTTCGTGTTAACTCAAAACAAATCTTTTCCAGTTGCTTTTTAAGCAACCCACATCAGTCTAGCCCAGTTTCAGCATGAAGTGTGTCTCCTAAAGACTACAGAAAGCCCTGAAAGTACTCAAAACAGCTTTCTAACTCCTGTGTAAACAGAATCAACGACATAAACTAATGATATGTCCTTAAGTGCAAAACTTTTTTTCCTGTTTGGAGGAATATGCTTATACTGATTGCTTCATATAAGCTCAAGGAGCCAATAACAAAACCAGCCAATCAGATTTTTTTTATTTACCAGTCCAACATTTTGTGTTATAAATGTATTGTACTTGATAAAGTACAATACGTTAAGTCTTAACTGTCAAGTTTGGTGACAAATCTCTCATTAACCAAGCTTCTTGGGGCCTCACTGAAAACATCAATATGCTGAACGTGGCATAGTGTACCTCTCCAAAAAAATTTCTTAGTCCCAGGGGTCATTGAGAATGATGGCTATAGAAACGACATGCGCGGGTGTTCTTCGCTCCGATGACGAAAAGACACCTTTGTCACGAAATGCAGAATTTAGCCTAGGCTGAGCAAAACGACCAGCAAGGAAATGAAAATGGAAGCTTCTTTCTTTCACATTTGTTGTCAACTTCTCGTATCCGATCAACCGCATACGTAGCCATAGCACGCAGACAAAAGCACACCACCACATACCGGTAAAACTGGTTTAGAGATGCGAAGTTCACTTTTCCTCAATTTCATTTATTATTATTTTTTTGCACTGCGAATGTAATATTAAGCTCGACTATTGTCAGCGTCATGAAGAAACAGAAAACAGATTATGAAACGCTAGCAAACTATCATTTTTTTGAGGGAAAAGACATTCCTTCCGTAGAACTTGGCATCTGTACCCTTCCAAAAGGCTTATGTAGCACATGGCAAACGCCGCTATGAACTAAGGATGCTCTCATGCGGTAAAGAAACAACTAGGTAAACGAAAGTTCTAACTCTGAAGCGTCAAAGAGAAGGTTTTCTTACCGTTTACAAGCTTCAAATCGTAATCGCCGGAGCTCGGACTTCCAGTCGTTGAAGGTGTCTGGGCTTTAGCTTGGTGAGCATTTCGCGTCAAAATACTCGTCGAATTCACCACTGGACGAAGACAGCGAGCTGAGATAGAGCACACCTTTTGCATGGTGGACAGCATTTTCTTGTTCTGCGAAGAGGTGCTTCTTGGCAGGCAAAAGCCGGCAAAAGTTCTCTATACGCCTCGAAACTGCGCGCGAATGAAAAAAAAAAAAATATTCCCTTCCGGTAATAGTTCCAGCAGTATCATGTGACAAAACGTCAACAAAGGGATGTTTACGAAGCTGCATTGTCACGTGACTTGAGCGTGTTGTCACGGTGTTGACAAAATAATTATACGCCTGAAATGCACCAAAAGGGGCAATACAAATAGCAATTAGCTTATTGTTTTGGCGGTGCCTATATCCTGCCGCTTCTTTTACCATGCAAAATTCAATGTGAAAACAAATGCGCTACAATTACATCCCCGGGATTTCTTCTCTGGAAGTGCCACGTTTCATGCGTTCAAAGTTGACCTTGCTGGCCTAACAAGCTCCATATGTTCGAGAAAGAATGTCTGTTGAAGTGCGTTCAGAATTCAGTGAATGCTTGCGTGACATTTCTACATCGCGAGAACATCGCACTACGCATAAATATTCGCATATTTTTGATATAAATTTTGAGCTTAGACATTTTGAAAACAAGTTTAATGAAATTGACGAAAAGCGAGAAAAATTCTTGCCTAAGGTATCAATCGAGGTTGAATTGGCCACAAAATTCTCAGAAGGCCAAGGTAAGATCTCTATTTCCGGCAAGTGCACATGAGCAACATGCCACACACAAAGGATCATGTGTTTTCGAGATTCACGCGTTCAAAATTTTGGAGCAAAATGGCAGATTGATTAAACAACGGAGGACGCTTTCTTTCATAATTTGCCATTGTTTTCATAGACAAAGTCAACCTTCATCGGTGCAAACGTAACTATTCCTCAGAGACTTCAGAGAACGTAATAGACATCATTTAAATAGCGGTAGCGAAATAGATATCCATTAATAGTCTGCTACTCTGGGTGCCAGAGGGTTTTTTTTTTCGTAGTGAAGCTGCGATTGTAAGCGGCGAAACCGCGATCGAGATCCTGGCGAGAGAGAAATTGAAAAGTCGTTCTCTCTCGCCAGGATCTCGATCGCGGCTTCGCTACCAACAAAAAAAAACCCTCTGGCACCCAGGGTAATAGGGTACGAGATCGAGTACGAGAACGACTTTTCAATTCTAGCTTGCAGGCTTCAAATCAACAAATCACATACCCATCTTATCCCATGACTTACCCTCTCTGCCTAAAACCAACATGAAGAGAGAGGACTCTGGAAACTGAAATTCGAAAATGGTACTCGTACTCAATCTCGTTCTCGTAGTCTATTAATAAACTCGCTATTGCGGAATAGCGTTATTGCGTAACGACAGCTTTTTATAGTCGAGCAACAAAGTTAGGTAATTTCAAAAAGACACACTCACAAGAGGTTCTGCGTGACGAGTAACACACCACTATTCCTCTGATCCGCTATACGACGCAAAATAAACACATACCGCGGATTTCCGATGCCATGCAAGTTTCCTGCCTTCTGATCTGGGTTTTGCCCGGGGTTTTGCCATGTGATGTGATCATGGGAACTGTATGCATGTGTACTTTTTTGGCTGAGAACCCAGGGTCTCCAGATATGGAACTGTATGAATATTCACAAATGGAGAATCGAGGGTCTTAATTGTCAAATAGCCTTGGGTCGCACCATATGTCCATGATAATCAGGCATCCTTGGACGAAACGACCGCAATTCCTGATCTAAGCTCGTGACACTCTCTTCCGGTGTCATTTTGGTGTTTCAGGTACCCTGGGTACCAGAGGTTTTTTCTCGCGCGCGGATGACGGAAATACTTCGCTGGTCACAATAGGGACATTACCGACACCGGAAACCGCGCAAGAAAAACCTCTGTTGCACCGAGGGTAAGTTTCAGGTTCTGCACAAGCTGATAGTGTTTTAATATTTCGTGCCTTTAAAATTAGTAAATCTCACCTCTTTCTTAGAGCGTTCATTTCTTTTGGTCAGCATCGAGGATTAACAAATTGATGGGGATCTGGACACAACCTTTCAACCTTACTGTCCAAAAAACAAGTTACCTACAGGGTTTGAGGACACGAGGCCATCCTTTTTGTGTATTTCATTTTTCAAAGTGATACAGTGTTCCCAGCTTCGGCCACAGTTCAAGTCATCGCAGCAGTTTATTAGCCACAACAATGCGTCGGCACACCCACACTTCGTAGCTTTTTCACGGCCCGTTTTATCACACTGATGCAAGCAAATACATACATACATACATACACACACACACACACACACACACACACACACACACACACACACACACACACACACACATACATACATACAT